GGACATTATATTAGATTATCAGATAATATGGAAACATTAGAAATGTATAGATATTTAGAAACATTTTTAGGAGAAAGTGCTAAAGCTACATGGGAAGCTTATAAGAAAGATAAACAACCAGAATTTGAAGCACTAATTGCATTAGGGAATAATCCTTATAATTTTTTTAGTAAAATACATGAAGTATTAACAGGATCAGACCCAAATACAGGACATATTAATATTCAAAGTAGAGCTATTAGAAATCTTGAACAACTTAGTTTAAATAGATGGACTAAAGGTAAAGAAGTTAAACAATTTTTAAATGAATATTATTATCTTATTTCTATATCAGGAAATACTTATAATCAAGAATTAGGAAAAAAATTATTTCATAAATTACCAGGTCCTTTAGGATTAGAAATAACAAAAAAGTGGAATGAAAATAAAACTGTTTTAGAAAAACCAGATCAATTATGGAGTATAGGAGTAAGAACACAATTTATAATGCAATGTTTAGAAGAAAAACGTATTGAATTACAAATCCAAAATCAATTAAAAAAGACAGATTATAAATTTTGTAAAGATATTTATACACCCCAGACTTATGGTAAAAATTTTAGAGAAAATATTTCATAAATTACCAGGTCCTTTAGGATTAGAAATAACAAAAAAGTGGAATGAAAATAAAACTGTTTTAGAAAAACCAGATCAATTATGGAGTATAGGAGTAAGAACACAATTTATAATGCAATGTTTAGAAGAAAAATGTATTGAATTACAAATTCAAAATCAATTAAAAAAGACAGATTATAAATTCTGTAAAGATATTTATACACCCCAGACTTATGGTAAAAATTTTAGAGAAAAGAATAAAAGAAAATATGATAAAAGAAAAACTAGTCAACCTTTTAAGAAAAAATATTATCTTAGAAAATCTAATAGAAGAAAACCTTATTTAGATGAAAATAAACATGTAAGAAAATATAAACCAGAAAGAAATTATCCTAATAAATTAAATTGTTATGTTTGTGGAGAGATAGATCATTTAGCTAAAACATGTCCAAAAAGGATAAATAATAATGATAAAAGAAGTAATCTTGTAGAATGTACTAATGAAGATTTATTAGAAATTGATGAATATATTTCAGATAAAGAATCAGTTTATAGTATTATTTCAATAGAAGATTATAATAATTATAATATAGAAGAACAATCAGATTTTGAAAATTTTATACAAGAATTTTCAAATATAAAAAATTTATCAGATTCAGATGAAGAATTAGAATTTATGGATATAGAAATAGAATGTAAACATAAATGGGTAAAAGAAACAGGTTCAGATAGCATACCATGTTTTTTATGTAAATGGTATCCTAGTAAAAAATTAAGAGTTAAATGTAAAGATTGTTTTTTAGAAGCATGTAAACAATGCTTAATACAAAAAGAATTAATAGAATCTGAAGAAGAAAATCAGAATGATTTAGTCCAAATAGAATTATCAGAAATAAAAATATTAAGAAAAAGAATAGAAAACTTAGAAGATATGCAAAGATATATTTTACAGAAAATAGAATTTTTGGAAATAAATAAAAAAGGAAAAAGTCCAGAAATTATCTCTGAATCAGAATTAGTTCAAGTTTTTTGTAATTCAGAAAAATTAAAAAGTATTAAAGTAAAATGTTATGTTAGAATAGAAAATTTTGAAATAAATTGTCTAGGTTTAATAGATTCAGGATGTAGTCATTGTGTAATTAATAAAAGAATTATACCAGAAAAATATATTATAAAATCTAAGGAACCTATAGAAGCCCAACAAATGGATGGGAATTTTTATAGTTATCAAGATATTCTTAAACCAGCAAGAATTAGTTTTGAGACTAATTGTGGAAGAAGTACAGAATATAGCGATTAAATGGATGAAAAATAATCATTGATGGCCAACTTAAAATTTATATATATATATATATATATATATATATA